TATTTATATTTAAAAATCATATGTATATATTGCAATCTATACACTTTGTTGCACGTTACATAATCTAGACCACTGCACTCTGCACATTGTGCTGTACATTAGATACTGCATTCTGCTGCAAACATTACACTGTTTTCTCTGTTACACTGTGTTCTGTATTATTTACTTTAGGTTGCATATTTTAGACCCCTGTGAACTGTAAATGACACATATTGTAGCATACACTAAGCATCCCAAACTGCTGCATGCTGTGATATACATTATATTCCCCACCGCTAAACACTGTGTGCTGCACAATCATTATGAATTATTTTGCAGTTCTGAAATTCATCCTATTCAAAGAACAGGCTGCTAGCAACGTACTTTGTACATAAAGGTCCTGATCCATCTTATCTAAAGTACAGTTATTTCCTCACAGCCACCATTCAGATTCAGACTTTCCATGTACGAACAGGCTTATCGATTGCTGCATGGAAGTAACTCCAGGAACATGTTGATAAATCAGGCCTATTGAGAGGTAAGTGGATGCAAATATAGATCCGTGTTGGATTAAACTGAACCTGCGGTATCCCCAAACCAATTAAACCTAAAGCAGCAGAGCAAAGCAAGAACCACAAGGTACGTGTCTATGCTGTTTGTGTTTAAAGCCTCATGCGTATGTGCAAGAAGCCACCCAGGAGCACACTTTCCAAAGTCATCAACTTTGCTCTGAGTCACAGCTTCTGTGTGCCCCCTTATGCTCCACCTGACAACCCAAAATTTTATGTTGCACACTTCAGAACCCCTTAAGGGCAGGTTCACACCATTTTCCGGATCAGATCTGGTACAAAATTGGTGTGAACCTGCCCGCAGTTCCAGTGAATTCCAGACCAGACAAAAGGAGACATGCAGTATTTTTCTGGTCTGGTCTGGTCTGGACAGACTGCGCTGGTGTGAACAGAGACAAGAAATAGCATAGGGATATATTAGGATGAATGTTGGGTCTGGAAACAATCTGGTCTGGTGTGGAGATTATCTGGCTGTGGTGTGAATAGGCCCTTAAGAAATCCCATTTCATTGTAGGATGCACATCAGGCAGGTTGGAGCTCTATGACGGAGCAAAGTTCAGTATTTTGGGAAGTATGTTTTCAAGTTGGAAAAGCTCAATGGTTAAAAGATTCACTATACCCAGAAACAGAAACATTACAATGTGTGCAGTATAAGGTGGATGACCAGAAACTCCACGGAGGTCAAAACAAATACCTCTACTACCAACAACATGAACAGAGCCACATCGACCAGAAGGTCTGATGCACGTTCAGGGGCCTAGCTACCATGTATATGCTCCTGCAGTAAGCCAAAGGAATAGTGCAGCTGTGAGCCATGCCAGGACAGATTATTAGACAATTCAAATGGGGTGGCTTCTCTATGCCTTGTTACAATCCTATCAATGTCAATCAAATGAATGGAGGGTGGGACTAAAGCTGCTACCTTGTCTAGGGCCCCATTCTGTCTTAATCTGTCTTTGCCCATGGCGTTTCCTGAGCACATCATCATCATCTTGCAAAAACAAATATTTGGATAATAGACAAACTTATATACCATGTATCAACCAATTTAAAAGTTGAACAATGGAATCCACACATCAAAGCAAATGAATTGCACCATCATCTTTTAATGTGAAAGACATCCTTACACCTAGATGTCTGTAATGTTGTTCCTTTGCATTATGACAATCAGAACTCCCACAAAGTGAATCACATATTAAACTCTATAGGGCTAAGGGGGGTCAGGACTAATAGGTGTGCATCAAACTGGTCATAGACAGTTTGGATTAATTTCTGAAGCAAGGAAACCAAGGTGTCTACAAAAATTACAGCTGGTGTCTAACTTTTTGAAATCTTTTCTTTCAATGCCAACACAAAAATCTTCACCAAAGGTATAACTGAAAAATGACCAGATGGTGAGCGTTTTTTGTACTATATGATTTTATTGATAAATCCTGAGTGGTCTTCATCAATAAAGCTTTTTTCCCATGTCCTACCAGTAACACATCTGTGGCACATTATTCATTTATATCTACACCCCCTTTTTCTTGTAGTCTTAGGTAATATGGCTGACTCATAGCACCCCTACAACTCCCAGTGCAGACAAAAGCCTAAATTGGACAAAAAGTCTCAACTGTTTCTTAATGCTAAACTTTATTCACACCAGCACCGATACCGGTTTTTCGGTATTGAGTACGAGTACCGATATTTATATTTTGGTACTCGCCAATACGGACTACCGATACCGGTACTTCCGGTAGCATAGAGCCAGCTTCCTGGGCAATCAGGGAGCCAGGCGGGTGTCATTACCCAACGCCCGGCTTCATGATTGCCCGGGAAGCCGACTCCATTCTGTTTGGCCAGCTCGATGCTGATTAACCGGGAAGCAGGCTTCCCAGCCAAATGGCATCGAGGCTGGCCAAACAGATCTGACAATATGGTGACACAACCTCCACCCTGCAGGCACCTCATTCCCCTCACATCGATCCTCAGCAGCATTCATTACTGTATCAGAGATGTCCCTCGGCCAGCTGGGCAGACACCGCTCCCCAAGCTCTCCTGGATCTGCCCACGTCTCCTGTGTGTACAGCGCCCACATAATCGGCCCTCAGCCTATTACTGTGCACGCGCAGACTGCCCAGTGCTCTCATTCAGACATCAAGCAGGCGATGCTAGCGCTGTGCACACAGGAGACGTGGGCAGATCCCGGAGAGCTTGGAGAGTGGTGTCTGCCCAGCTGGCCAAGGGACTGGTACAGTAATATCTGCTGCTGAGGATCTATGTGAGGGGAATGATTGTCTGCAAGGTGGGGATCGTGCCACCATATCAGATTTGTTTGCCCGGCTCATTACTGATTGGCTGCCCAATCAGCATCGAGCCGGCCAAACAGCATGGAACCAGCTTTACGAGTACTCGCCCAAATACTTGGTATCGGCACCGATACTGGTATCGGTATCGGTGCATTCCTAATTTTATTGGTAAATGTTATTCTGACTGGCCTTTATCATTAAAGGAGAACTATGGGGTTAAGGCTTTTCCCCATAGTTCTCCTTAGGGTAACGGGAGGACACAAACTAGCGTCCTCCCGTCACCCTAGGCTCAGTATACCGCGAGCTGCTGCTCGCGGTATACTGAGACGCCGCAGCTGAAGCGGATCCCGACAATTATGCCGGGATCTGCTCAGCTGCGTGACTGTCAGCTTGCTCAGCCTATCTAGAGGCAGAGCCAGCTGTACCCGCCCCCTCCTTTAGTCAGCTCTGGCGGATTGGAGTGGGGAGGGGGGAATCCAGCCCCTCCCCTGTCACGGCAGAGAGCCGTGACAGGATCGAGAGGTGGGTGAACGCCGGTATGTGTTCGATCACCTCCCGATCTACTGAGCCGACCTGTGACAGTCTAATTGTCACAGGTCGGCTAGATCTATGAGATGAGTGAAAAGCACTCACCTCATAGTTCTCCTTTAAAGCTCTGCAACAGGAGGTGCCGTTACTGGTAGATCACCAGATCACTGCAACAGGAATTTCTCTTACTTGCAGGATCACCAGATCACTGCAACAAGAGTGCTCTTACTGGCAGGATCTCCAGATCACCTTCAATTGTCCGTTGCAATCTCCCTTAGATTCAGCACTTGAGATTCTTTAGCATGCCACAGGAAGTGCTGCTACTGGCAGGATCTCCAGATAAAAAAAACTAAAAAAAACTTAGCAAAAGATTTGCTTAAGAAAAGTATGTACAAGAAGACAGGACGACAAGCACACTAAAATATATCTGTACAAAATATATCAAAGCAACTGGACTTGTTGTTTTTTCCTTAAAGATGTTTTGCTGGTCATCCGATTAGCTTTCTCCATTTAGGATTAAGAAGATTCTGAATTGAGAAAACTAATCGGATGAACGGCAAAACGTCTTCAAGAGAAATACAGCAAGTCCAGTTAGTTTGATTTATTTTTTTACAGATATTTCATGGCCTGGATGAAAGAGAACCTTCACAGACAAACTAAAATAGATTTTGAGTTTACATACACTTTAAGAGGATAAAACATAGAGGAATTTTATTAAACGTGATACATATGTGAACAAAATGTATGTGAAGCCTTGATACATGGGGGGGGGGGGGGCGGGGGGTATTGAAGCTGTTTTACTTGAGATCAGTAACATAACAGGTCACCATTCTGCTACCACATGGTCAGAAAACTTTACCTGCTGGAGCATGAGGGCTTGCTGTTGCTGAAGTAAGACCTGTAGCTGTTGGGGCGTTAGCACTTGCTGCTGGAGAATTTGCTGCATTTGTTGAGGAGTGATTACTTGGGGTGTCATCATAGCCACTGAGACTGGAACCTGGAAAAAAAAATAAAACAATTGCTTAAATACTCTTTTATAACCCACTGCAAGTCCCCGCTAAAGCAGACAGGACGTCATGCAAATTCCATCTCAGTTCTCACCACAGCGACCTACAACTGCTACCAAGAAAAAAAAAAAAAAACCCTGCATACATCACATTGTCTGCACAGCCGCCGTGCGCTCCCTCCTCAGCCCAACTAAATGTACAGATGTTTTCAATTCCTCCATATTATGTGAGATACCATTAAAGCGGTTTTTCCGTGACATTTCGGTGACAAACAGCGACGGCGATGAACCCGATAGCATTTCGTATTTGCAACTGTTAACACATTCTCAGCCCTGTGCGCACATTTCTGTTTAAGGAACCTATACAGCTTATTTGAAAGGGATGATGTCTTCGTCAGATAAAAACACTGACATTAAAATGACAGGCTGTCTCGGACAAGGTTACACAAATTGTATTGCAGCGGCTAGCTAATGACAATGCCACCAATCCTGCGAGCTTCCTGGGGGGGGGGGTTTGTTTGGGAATTTTAGATGTAAAAAAAATAATAGCTTTCGATAAGAACAAATAGTAACTGTATAAAAAGGTCATTTTTGAATGTCTTAAGTCAATAGTGTCTTTGGTGTATATGTGTACATATGTATGTTTCTGCAGGTGGCGCACTCACAATCAGTCGTGGGCTCGCAAACTGAGTCTTACCCAAATGGTCACCAATATATATAGATGAAACTAAAGTTGCAGATTACGGCAACCGAACTGTATTGATAATCTTTAGCAATACAGTTGATTGCCAATTCAGCTGAATAGAAAAATTGTATATACACTATACCAGACATGGGC